GATGATGACAGTGAATATGATGATGACAGTGAAGATGATGATGAGGATGACAGATGATGATGATGACAGTGAATATGATGATGACAGTGAAGATGATGATGAGGATGACAGAGATAATGGTAATGAGATAAGGATGATGATGATAGCAATGAAGGTGATGATGACCATGATGATGCCAGATGGTGATGATGATAATGACGATGGTGATGACCATGACAACGATGATACTGATGATAAGAATGATAATAACTATAGATAATAATAATTAATGAATGGTTGAATGAWATAACTAAGATCATTAGCCAGGAGAAAATTAATATCTTGAGTATACAAAATTAAAAAACTCAAAAAGAGATGTTGTTCACATTTCAGGGAATCCCCTTTATCCTCACCAAGAAAAACTGAAGCAGTTAACTCCATTTCCTCGGCTTCACCAACCCTCACTCGACCAGGAATGTCACCCTCCCCTCCCCCACCCAAGGAACATCGTCACATAAGACCATCTCCTTTGGGGAGATCATTACCTACAGCACCCCTGGTGGGGAGGGATCTCCAACGACCACACACTTCTGGAGAGTTTAGGATAAGAAGGTATTGATCAAGACATTATATACAGTGGTTTTGGTATGAGTGGGAAATTATATGGCAAATGTATAGCTGTACTGTAGCCGTAACTATGCTATGTGATTGGATGAATTACTGAAGACAATGGGAAGCCATTTTGAATGTTACGGCATGTCATACCTCGTATGTGCTGTAAGTTTCCCACTCATACAATAACCATTCTTATGGAAAGCCATTTCAATGTTATGGCATGTCGTACCATGTATGTGCTGTAAGTCAGTACAGTATGTTTCCCACTCATACAATAACCATTCTTATGGAAAGCCATTTCAATGTTACGGCATGTCGTACCATGTATGTGCTGTAAGTCAGTACAGTATGTTTCCCACTCATGCGATAACCATTCTTATGGAAAGCCATGTTTCCCTTGGATGCTTATCAGAGGTTTGACCTTTCTTTATCATGGTCTTCCTGTGGAATACAATTAACTCCACCCCTCCCCCTAAAACTAAACGTGTAATGACTTGGCTGGCTGCTTATCAGATGTCTGACCTTTCTTTATCTTGGTCTTCCTGTGGAATACAATCCACTCTACCCCTCCCCCCTAAAATTGAACATGTACTGACATGCACTGGTATTCCCTTGGCCGCTTATCACAGGTTTGACCTTTCTAAATCATGGTCTTCCTGTGGAATACAATTAACTCTACCCCTCCCCCCTAAAACTAAACATGTACTGACTT